CCCCATTAAAAAATCTAATGAAGTCAAATCTAGCGAACGTGGAGGCCAATAAATTGGTCCACCCCTTTCGATCCAACTGTTAGGAAATTCCTGATTTAGAAACACACGGAGCAAAGGGAAAAGGAGCGCCATCTTGTTGAAACTCTGGATTATAACATTTCTTTGTTTACAGATTATTTCTATCGCAAATACAAATATAAGTTATAATTTTTTTAAAGTGCACACGAACTTTATGGATACCCTGTATCTATCTATCTATCTATCTATCTATCTATCTATATATATATATATATATATATATATATATATATATATATATATATATATATGTATATATAATTTAAAGAAAGAAAATATATATATATATAATTTAAAGAAACAGGAAGGAAGAGGAAAGGAAAGATGACAAAGTAAGAGAAAAAAATTAAAAGAGAAAGAAAGAGAAAAAAGACAAAACTGAGTGGGAGAAATAACGGAAAGGGAGAAAGACTAAAAGAACGAGAGACACAGAAACTCGTTTAGGCAAAGTTTAAACATAGTTTCATGGTGGTAAGAAAGTTTGGAAATCAGACACCAGTTAAATTAACAATGACCTATATTTTAAAATATTAATATCTGATTTCCATAAGGAAAATTTACATAAGAAAATCTAAAAATATTTAAGGATTGAATTTTAAGGTTATTTGGACTATCATTGAATTTCAATTATATGTAATTTATTTATATATACTCACTAATAAATACATTGAGCTCTCTTTGTGGATCAATTTTAATATTTAATCCAATTAGGATTCACTTGGATTATTTCCCCATGTATTTTTACCTGTATATATACAAGATAACAAATTTAGATTACAGATCCTAGAGTTTAGATTACAACTCGAATCAATTTATATTAAAAAATTAAAGCCGTCACTTAACACAATCAACTGTGAATACCGCAGTAATGTTCTGAAATGCCTGTAAAAGAACATTATTTTTTCACGTTTTAATGGCGCATGATCATGAAATTATAACATGAAAAAAACTCCATAACGGGTAATTTTTTCACGTACTAATGAACGCTCTGCATATTGTCAACCGTTTTGCATTTAAAATACACTATCAAGAAGTCATACACTACACATGTTTGACCATTTGTCCATTGCAAGACATCTACAACAATATTCTTGTCCACATTCACAATATAAAAAATTACTAATCGACAAAACAACTATCCTACACCATGAAAACAACAAATTCAGATTACAGATACTAGAAGCAATTTATATTAAAACATTACAGCCGTTACTGAAAAGAATCAACTATAAATACTGCAGTAATGCTTTAATGAATGCATGACCATGAAAATATAAGAAGAAAAATAATTCCACAATCGATAATTTTTCACGTTGTAATTACGCTCAGTTCATTGTCAACCGTTTTGCATTTAAGAGCATAATGAAAAAAAATTATATATATATATATATATATATATATATATATATATATATATATATATATATATATATATATATTACGGTAATAGATAACAACGCATAACTTTGTATAAATACTTGTACTAATGAACAACATATTGTTTTGTATTACTTGGACCCTGGAGATGATCTTGGAAGAAGATCGAAAGTACTTTGGGAAATGAAAATAAAAGAAATTTAAAAACAGCTATAGCACATTTCTCTCATTTCTGTTAAAAATTAACAAAAAATGTCTGTAATTTATTCAATCGGACATGCTTATATATATATATATATATATATATATATATATATATATATATATATATATATATATGTGTGTGTGTGTGTGTGTGTGTGTGTTTATGTGTGTGTTTATTATGCAGTGTTGCATTAGAACATGCACATACCCAACAAAACTGGATATCATGTTACAATGTTAACTTATTTTTTACCGTGGGAGATCACGATTCGGAATAAAATATTTTAGATTTTAGTAGCATCGTGATCTCGCACCTGGTGAAACGGTAAAAAAAATTAACGTTGAAAGAAGATGTACAGTTTTGCAATGGGTATTTGCATGTTCTAATAACACTGCATAATAAAAAAATATTTTATTGCTCTACTTTTGTACTGAGCCCTGTTTTTAAATTAATGTTTTGAACACTGAAATCTTACTCTTCGTTCTTTGACATTTGAATATATATATATATATATATATATATATATATATATATATATATAATTTATACAATTTTTTAAAAATTTACATAAAAATTGAAATTATAGGCCAATCAGCATCTTCTGTATTCCTGAAACCTGTTCTTTAATTGTCCTTCCTCTTCTCTAAATTATTTTTCCTTCTTTATCAATCCCAGTAAACCCTTGCCTCTGAGTGGAATTATTACATTGCTTCGGTTAATTCATTTGTACAATGATGTTCACATTATGTAAGGCCCAAAAGCCCCACGAGGTAGAGTGCCAGGGAGTAAGCGGCACAGTTTGTAGGGCTATGCGAAGAAGATAACGGTTGACCCTAGACTTGAACAGGGTAAGATGTTAGCAATCAGAGAGCATCATCTTGGGAGACGGTTCCACAAAGCAGCGGTTCGGGGTAGAGGGTTAACGAGTAAGAGGCATATTTTATGGGGATATGTGGTGAAGGTAAAGGTCGATCCTACATTTGAACAGGTTAAGAGAGTAATGATTGGGAAAGCATCCTCTTGGGAGTCGGTTGTTTCAGAAAACATTACTGCTTGGGACAGCCATAATTTCCAGTACATTAATATTAACCTAAGAGTTGACAGAAGAAATCGAAGATTATGAGGCTAAAGATATCTTTTTACAGTGATGTCACAATATACAAGGACCGGGAGACACACGATGTCTGAGTTTATAGAGTAAGAAGTATAGTCTATGGAGATATGTGGGGAAGCTATTGGTTATCCCCTGATTTACACAGATTAAGAATGCGGTTATTGGGGAAGCATCACCATGGGACACGATTCCACGGTTTGGTTTGGTTTGGTTTGGTTTACGGCATATCAATCTCAATTGGTTGTTTGATGCCGACAAGTTTTTTATTGTAATGTTTCATTTTTCCAAAATTCTATGCCTGGTAATATGTTTTCTTAATAAATTCATTGCTCACTATTTACACTGTTGTCGCTATATTTATTACAACGTTTCGGCTGTTATACGCTCCGGCCTTCTTCAGGTGGTTGGAATGTCGAACTGAACCCTTTATTTCGCTCACTGGGGTAGACTGTTCTAGTTCCACATGCCATGTCTAATGGATGTCAGTTATCTCCTGTTAATTCCCCTCTGAAAGTTCTTCACTGCCTTAACCAGGTATTGAACTCACACTCTTTGGGTCCTGTTACTGGATCTAACCAACGCCTTTATCCACTGTGCCATGTGCCCTTGAGGAGCTAACTGATAACTGACATCCGTTAGAAATGGCCAGTGGAACTAGAACAGTCTACCCCAGTGAGCGAAATAAAGGGTTCAGTTCGACATTTCAACCACCTGAAGAAGGCCGGAGCGTGCAACGGCCGAAACGTTGTGATATGTATGGGGGCAAAGATGAGGACAATAGTCCGAATAATGTAAATAATGTACATAATATCTCATCTCAGAAATATAGACAGATACTTAAATTCATTGCTGGTAATAATTTTTCCCCCAAAAATGTATTGTTGGTATTTTTACACTTTCATAGTGTTTTGACCACAGTTTCGGGGTTAACTATTTGCCCATAGCTGGGACCCTAACCAGTACTATTGTATGTAGTTTATCGTCTTACCCAGCACGCGGATGTAGTTTATCGTCTTACCCAGCACGCGGATGTAGTTTATCGCCTTTCCCTGGACGTGGATGTAGGTTACCGTCTTACTCAGGACGCTGGATGTAATTTATCGTCTTACCCAGGACGCGGAGCGATTTAGCGGTTAACTATTTGCCCGTAGCTGGGACCCGAACAGGTGCTAACACTCCGTGTCAGGGTGGACCTTAGGAACAGCAGTAGTTAAGAGGTGGTTCCACGCTCGTCAAAACAGCCTGATCAGAGGCCTCGCTGTTGGATGTAGTTTTTTGTCTTACCCAGGACGCGGATGGAGTTTATCGTCTTACCCAGGACGCGGTTCTACGTAGCAGCGGTTCGTGAAAAAAAACTTACATCTCACCAATGAAGTGCGAAAATAATATAGTTGGTTCTCTAATATGTGCGTGGCATTACGGGTCTTAGATGTGAGGGTTAGAACTTGTGGTACTAAGAAATGTATTACGTCTGAACACTTTCCATGGAAGTAGGTGTTTGGCAGCGAGAGTCCTGCAGTTTCATCTCTGGGAAAGTAGGTTGTAGTGTGGAACATAATCCGTTAGCGGCAAGGACATGCATACGCTTTTGAACTCTATCGAGAATGGAAAGTGAAGATTCGACAACAGCTACCCATATACAGCTCATTACCACCGGATTTACGGCATAATCTGGCTCTTGTAAAGGTAAAGGATAGAAGGTGAAGAACCGGCCATTTCTATGGACAGGGAAATAATTTTGAAAAAGCAAAAATGAAATTCGTGAAAGCCTGATTAAAAATAGAAGAAAAGAAAGGCTTCCCTATTTCAATATTTTAGTCATTGTCCAAGAAGTAATCATGAAATAATTATAAAAATGTCCAGCAAAAATCCTATTAACTTTGACGTCAATTCTTTAAAAAGGAAGTCGATGCTGGAAATTTCCATAAGATTTCATGTTTGAATTTATTTTGTACGTTCTACTGAACAAACTTTTTCACTGCTAAAAAAAAATTAAAAAAAAGATTTCTGCGGCATGGATGCGTTTATTTTATTAATTCCCACATAAAGAAGAAGAAGAAGGAAAAGTCAGAACACGAGGAAGAAGAAAAAGAAAAGGAAGAGCGAGAAGGAGGAGAAAGAGAATAATAGAAAGAAGGAGGAAAAGAAGAGAAAGAGGAAGTGGTAGAAAAAAGGGAGAAGAAGTAGAAGAAGACGCATAAGAAGAAGAAGAAGCAGAAGGAAACGTCAGAAGACGAGGAAGAAGAAAAAGAAAAGGAAGAGGGAGAAGGAGAAGAAAGTGAATAAAATAAAGAAGAAGGAAAAGAAGAGAAAGAGGAAGTGGTAGAAGAAAAAGGGGAAGAAGTAGGAGAAGAAGAAGAAGATAAAGTAGAAGAAGAGGAAGAAGAAAAAAAGAGGAAGAAGAAGAGAAAAAAGGAGAATAGGAGGAAGAAGAAAAAAAGGAAGAAGAGGAAGAAGAAGAGGAAGAAGAAGAAGAAATGTAAGAATAAGAATAGGAGGAAAAAGTAAGAAGAAGAAGAAGAAGAAGAAGAAGAAGAAGAAGAAGATGGGAGAAGAAAAATAAAAAGAAGAGGAAGAAGAGAAAGAAGAAGGAACAGAAAAGGAATCAGTAAAAGAAAAGTAGAAAAAGAAGAGGAATTGGAAGAAAAAGAAGAAGAGGAAGGAGGGGGCGAAGAAAAAGAGGAAGCAGTTCAAGTACAAGACGAGGAATAGGAAAAAGAAAAAAAGAGGACGAAGAAGGGGGACGAAGAAGAAGAGGAAGAAGAAGAAGAGGAAAAAGAAGAGGAGGAAGAAAAGGAACAAGATGATGATGATGATGATGACGAAAAGGAAGAAGAAGAAGATATAAAGAAAGAGGAAGAAGACGAAAACTGAGAAGTCTATGAAGTGGTTCTTGTCTTAAATCTGATAAAAATCCAATGCTTACCGAAGTGGAAAGCATCTTGTATTTATGATTTTTATTAGTTGGCAATATTTACTTTCCTGTTAGAATTCAATTTTCCGATTAATATATATTGGCTAGTTATTCTTTCATCACGTTTTTGTTGCTTCTTATCGCAAGACTGCCTTCATTTTTACGCTCACTTAGCAATCAACCTGAATGAAAGATGAACAAAAAGCTTTGGACGACATTGGAACCTTCACCTTCTTTGCGAGCCTCTCGTAACTCGACAGCGCCTTATCGACTAGATAACAGACATTCTCCAAATACAGCCATATAACCACAGTATTATTTATTATATCTTAAATGCATCTATTTTTATACGAGCCCGTCACAAAACAGTCCTGGGTATGATGATAAACTACATCCGGCAGCAAGGCTTTTGATGGTGAGAATCCAAAGTTTTGTGGAGCGTGGAACCAATTCTTAATTGCTGTTCTCGGATCCACTCTGATCCAAGGTTCTAGCAAATGTTAGATTCTCAGCTATAAGCAAATATTGAAGCCCCAAACAAAAATATAACTCTAGGAAAGTATAAAAGATAGATTTTTTATAGTAAAAATACAAGTAATATATTTTTGTATAGAAAATTTCCAACAATATATTTTTAACTAGCTTAAAAGCCGTTCAATCGAGCGTCAATTAAAGTGGCTACCAATGGAGGGCTCTTGATTGGGCCTTCAACTTTTTCAGGCGTTTGAGAATCCCTAAATCTTTGAATATTCTTATTCATTCATTAGAAGCACTCATGGTTGCCGTTTGATCTGGATTTTTATTTGCACGGGACTGTCTTTTCCTCATTGCAGCCTTGGCTCTTTTGATTGCAATCTGGTCAGATATTGGCAGAGTTTTTTTTTTTTTCGAGACATACTACTGCCATATAGGATAGGCAACAATAAACTACAGAAGAAATCAAAATCGATCGCTGCATATAATTGTTGCATTAATTATCAAGCTTACCTTTTAAAATTTCAACGATAATTATTCTACTTAATTTAAAGACAATTTGATGTACGTAGGTCCTTACTTTCTGTAGAAACAATTATTTCTGTGTCATGGGTGACTTTCGCTGGATTTCGCAATTAATTTAAATAACTCCCAAATTTATTTCTGTTGTAACCTAGAAAGGGTTACTGAATGAGGAATAACCAAAACGGAGGTTGGAAATGAAATGGTAATCTTTATAACATCAACAATATACAATACTCGCCAGCGGCGTGCAGTAGGTAAACCACCGCTAGTGGTGGACTACTTAGACAGTATATTACCCCCATTTACAATAGTGTCCAACGTATTTATGACGAATGCGACATACCCATTAGCATTCATAGGTAGAGTATATAACAATTTCCAAGTTATAAGTATTATGTACATTATTTGCATTATTCGGACTATTGTACTCATCTTTGTCGCCATATTTATCACAACGTTTCGGCCGTTGTACGCTCCGGCCTTCTTCAGGTGGTTGGAATGTCGACCTGAACCCTTTATTTCGCTCAAAGGGGTAGACTGTTCTAGTTCCACGTGCCATGTTTAATGGATGTCAGTTATCTCCTGTTAATTCCCCTCTGAAATTTCTCCACCGCCTTAACCAGGTATTGAACTCACACTCTTTGAGTCCAGTCACTGGACCTAACTAACGCCTTCATCCACTGTGCCATGTGTCCGTGAGGGCACATGGCATAGTGGATAAAGAGTGTGAGTTCAATACCCGACTAAGGCGGTGGAGAACTTTCAGAGGGAAATGAACAGGAGATAACTGATAACTGGCAAAGTATAAAAGTAGAGAACGAAAGAGAAAAAGAAACAAAGAACGAAATAAAGAAGGAAATAAATGAAAAAATGAATAAAGATGGAAAGAAGGAAAGAAGGAAGGAAAGAAGGAAAGAAAGAAAGAAAGAAAGAAAGAAAGAAAGAAAGAATGAAAGATCGACAGAAAGAACGAAATAAATGAAGTAAAACGAAAGAAAGAAAGAAAGAAAGAAAGAAAGAAAGAAAGAAGGAAAGAAAGAAAGAAAGAAGGAAAGAAAGAAAGAAAGAATGAAAGATCGACAGAAAGAACGAAATAAATGAAGTAAAACGAAAGAAAGAAAGAAAGAAAGAAAGAAAGAAAGAAAGAAAGAAAGAAAGAAAGAAAGAAAGAAAGAAAGAAAGAAAGTCTGGAAAAGGTTCAAAAACAATAAACACACCAAGTTAATAGATATTAATGATGAATGTTGAGAGTATGAAAGAAAGAAAGGAAGAAAGAAAGAAAGAAAGAAAGAAAGAAAGAAGAAAGAAAGAAGGAAAGCAATGAAGAATGAAATAAATGAATAAAAACGAAAGAAAGAAAGAAAGAAAAAACGAAAGAAAGATGAAGAACGAAATAAAAGTATAGAACGAAAGAGAGAAAGAAAAAAAGAAAGGAAGGAAGGAAGAAAAAGCAAAAAATAAAACGAAGGAAAAAGTTAGCCGGCGATATTAATTATGCATTTAACATCAGCTTCAGTGAAATAGAAAAATGGGTCAATTTTTAATATTTTCATTTTTATCATCTTACGTCATTAAAATTCATTAAATTCATTCATATTTATGATTTTTATTGTAATATTTTGATAAAAACGTTGGACTTGTACCGGAAAGTGTATTTGTACGCGTTGTGCATGAAAACGTGCATTTTCTGAAATAGACCCTACTACAAATATGGCTGACTCAAGCCGATTCCACCCAAAAGAAATGTAAAAAGCAAATGTGAAGAAAACAAAAAGACCGGTATATATATATATATATATATATATATATATATATATATATATATATATATATGAAGAAATATATGTGAATTAACAAACAATAAGCGTTAGAAGTGACAAAGAAGGTAATGAGTGTGTATGAATGAACGTAGAAAGTTTGTGGTCAAAGTATGCGTGAGTGAATGTCCGTACGTAAGTGCGTATTTAAGTTTCGTGGTTTTTCCCGAAGGAAACGCATAGTGCTCCACTCCCCACCCCACAAAGGAGAAAACGCGACCTTTACGAGAGATTACATTGTTGTAATGTCCGCTGAAAATGAGAAGTGAAAGAGAGGACAAGGCGAGAAACTCACCAAGTATATTACAGTAAATTGATATTTGCCCCAAGTGATGGTTTCAAAATTTAGGAGGAGATAACTCCGACAAACTCATATATTTAACGATGTAATAAGGGAAGTTCCAAAGGTATTTGATTGTCGTAGAAATCGCATGTAAACGTTAACGTAAGATTCATCATAAAATTCAAACAGAGATACCCGTGAAGTTTGGCAGTTCAGTTTAGCGTTTGATTGAGGGACCGTATGGAACATGCTCGAAATGCAATATTCCTTGGAAATTCCTCCAGAAAAATATCAAGATTTGTTGTTTTCTTTCCGCTTTCTAAGTGAACCAAGATTTCTGGCCAACCTAATTGATGATAAATAATTTCTTCCAATTCCTATCCTGTTCTATATAAATACTGCTGAAATTGTTTAATTCTTTCCAGAATAGAATCCCTACGGGTGTGGGTTTGAAAAATCCATTTGCTGAATATGCCGGAAAGATTCTAAAAATGTGAAATGCGTCATCATTGCTTCTTTCCAAGTAAACTGACATCTGGCCTTTCAATGAAGACTGCTCATCCTGGTGGTCAAAAATGATGACGTCATAATCTCTGCAATACTTTAATGTAAAGTTTAAAGTAGATTGCAGTAATATTGAGGAAACTTCCTGTCACGTGGTCTCTATATCTCGTGCTTAGAGTTTGAAGCGGGAAGAAAATGCAAGTAATCCTAAGAATGAATAGATGAACGTGGTTAAAAGTGAGGATGAAAAATACAGAGTGCGATGAATAAATTGTCGTCTAAATGACGCAAAAGTGAAAACAACCCGGACATCTCATTTTAACAGATATACAGTGTGCGATGAATAAATTATCGTCTAAATGACGCCAAAATGAAAGTGACACTGACATCTCATTTTTGACAGATATACAGGGTGCGATGGATAAATTGTCGTCTAAATGCCGCCAAAATGAAAATAACGCTGACACCTCATTTTAATAGATACATTAACCAAAATTTTTAAAAAATTATCTAAAAATACTAAAAGAGGAAACCTTTTCAAAAAAATCGCTATCGGCTTCAACCACGGCCTTCAGATGACTTCGGAATCTGATACAACTCTCTTGAACAGTCTCCTTGTTAAAATTGGTGAATGCTGCCATAATCCTTTCCTTCAGTTCATCTTTAGTGTTAAAAAGTGTGCTCAGATTGACGCCCAAACACTCTGAACTATTAGAGCTTCCGGCTCGAATGCCAACAAATACAACATTCCGAATTGCATCATGGTGCTGTTTTTCGCACATACGGTGCCCAACTGACCCTACTATAACGTGCGATCGACAAAATCCAAAACAAACAACGCGCATGCGCAAAATAAAAATATAAAATAGCGACACTTTATCCATCGCACACCGAAATTTTTAGAAAGTCTTTTTGAAACAGAATATCAAGGCAAAGCGTATCATCATTGAATAAGAAAACGAAAATAATATAAGTGTAGCTTCGTCAAAGATACTGAAACAAGAAATATAATCTTTATGAAAACAATGATATGAGAGCGAAGCAATACAAGTGTAGATGGGCGTATAACTAAGTTTCAAAGATTATGCCAAAAAATTTGATAATATATGAATCAAAACCTATTTGAACTACTAGGGAAGTTTGACTTATTTGGAAATGATATAACCCGGAATATATACTGGGAGAAAACAGCCTTCAAATAGATAGAAAATAAATTGAATAGGTAAACCAAAACAGAAAGGAACGTAAGACAATTGTGACTAACCACTTGATTTATTTAACATTTATATCGAGGCGATTATAAGAGAACTAGAAGTCCTCAAAGGATTTATTATTAGCGGACAAATTCTTAACATACACCCTTGTCAAATTAATTGAAACAACAGCTTAAGTTTCCTTTTCTCCCCATACGGTCAGTTTGAGACCCACTGACGTTGTAATCGATTTTATTTTTTCCTCAGATTAGGTAATTTGCAGTGGTGTGCAGTAATATTAATCTATTTTCGGGGTGTATGGTGAAAATTGTCCTTGACAAATATTGCGTCATCTAATTGCATCGGATTTTTATCACGCCCAGACACTATTGTCTCGACTGTCGATTAGTTGTCCTACGGCCATTGTCTGCGATGGACGTTATTCCAAGGAAGCGTACGATAATTGTAACGCTGCACGAACAGATTGGCAAGCATTACCAGTGAGCAAATCAAAGTACTATGGGCTGGCTCATAAGATTTTCCTGATTTAAATCCAATCGAAAATCTATGGTGAATCTGTAAGGAACGACTTCGTGGAATGGACATACGAAGTACTAACATGTGAACTGGGTCATGTTTTATTGGGAAAATACGGAGAAAAAAAACGTAAATAATAACGGAACGGTTTTGTTTCAATTAATTTGCACAAAGGCGTATGATACACAGAAGACAGTATGTTGATGACAGACACAGATAAATGTAGGGACTCTTGTTCATGGTTTGCTTTGCTTTGGTTTGCTTTGTTTTACGGCATATCAACCGCAATAGATTATTTAATGCCGGTAAGATTTTTATTGCTGGTAATATCTTTTCCAAAAATGTACTGCTGGTAACATTTTTCCAAAAATATATTGCTGGTAATATTTTTTTCAAAAATGTATTGTTCTTAAAGAAATTTCCAAAAAAAGGTATTGGTGGCACTGAAACATATTTTTATACTTTCACAGAGTTTTAACCACTTTGGTGGGGGTAACTATTTGTCCATAGTTGGGATCCTAACAGGTGCTACCATTCCGGGTCAGAGTAGACCCGGGAACACTAACATTTAAGAGGTGGTTCCACGCTCCTCAAAAATTTCTGATCAGAGGCCTTGCTGCCGGATGTAGTTTATCGTCTTACGCAGGACGGTCTCTTGTTATTGGTATCAAAGGAAACCAAGAAGAAATGACTAACACTCAAATGTAAGAAGACAGACTGTACAGTCGTCAGCAAGAATGACAAGCCCAAGACGTAAGTTACGAATAGCAGATAGCAGATATGAGAAGAAATCATGTAGAGAAAATGGAAAGTATTGTATCGGACGAGGGAAATATGACACCGAAACCCGAAGCTGTATTGGAATATTTATTTTAATCATTTCATTTTCATTTCCAAGCAAGGAAATAGCCTCACTAAGACGCAAAGAAGATGAGAAAATTACTATTTAAGATAGAGAATAATAAACGAATAGGAATTAAGAAGACGTAATATAACGATTAATATTGCATTTAAATTTTTGAAAATCAATGTTGACTGACAAGTAAGAAAATGGAAGTTAGTTCTAAAATCGAGAAGTGCGAGAGAAGAAACTGTTAGCATAGAACTTACGGTTGCTTATAGCTAATTCAACTGTAAAAGGATGAGACCTCTCCGCCAATCTAGTACTGCGCTAGAAAAATGAAGACTGTACAACTCCTGACCATATATGGCAGCGATACTTCATTTTTTTTTATCTATTCTGGCTCTTGCAAAAGATATAGCAAGCGGAGTCAAGCACTTACTGGAGTGGCACAGGGGACCGAATAATTTTCTAGGAATTTTCTAGTGATGGATCTTACGAGCTCCATTTGTGATATTGGTTGAGCTGGTTTCCTTAAAAGAAACCCCGGTAGGTAAAAAATCCAGGGTCCACACGGGGATGATGGATCGTCACTTGTTTTTGAGGCCTTAAATTTGATCAGTTAGATATACAAGAGTATAGAGTAAGCAGAAATGAACAGTATCAAATCAAAGAAGCAAATGACAAAATTAAACACACCGCTCAAGGGCTTCGCGTAGCCTTTCGGGTTTCAAACATACTTCAAATTTTCAATGTAATAAAAAAAAAACCAATAAAATCAGCTCCCTCCAATAAACAAACACGGGCCTCTGAAGCCTACTTTCTTTCTCTGTGCCGTGTCCGATCTGCCATCTATTCATCTGTCATTCACATGCTTAAACCCGCCAGGTATGTCACGCGTTGTTTTCCTTTGACTCTCTTTCGACCCGTAAGTATCATATTCTACAGGCCTTCCCTCCTCATTATGTGTCCCAGAAACCTCAACTGCCTCTTCTGCTGTTAAGTATAAGCC